TCACTACTGCTGTCACCCTCTTCCATCCAACTCTTAGCAGCCTGATTTTAACTTCTCTTTTTCTTTATTTTATTACTTATTTTATTTATTTATAAAGCTATATTTATCACTTATAATTTATTGTTTTATTACTTATTTTATTTTGTTTATTTATAATTTATTAATTATTTTATTTATTTATAACGCTAAATTTATTACTTGTTTTATTTATTATACATAAAGCTAAATTAAGATAACAAAAATTTCTTTCTATTCTGCCCTTAACAACCAACCAGTTTGTATGGAGTTCACCCGAGCAACTGGTTCGATCAGTGAAACATATGGACTTTTGTTGGCACCGTTAGGTTACCCTTGTCTGGTTTTGTTTCACTGAGGCACTGTTAATAACTACCACATTTAACAACCATTTAAAACAAATCACATAAAACAAACACACAGATACCAGATTATGATGAAAACATTCAGGCACCAAAATCTCAAAAGAATTTTCTTTGTAATGACCTTTAACCCAATAGAGATCAGAACCGAACTATTAAATTTTTGTTTTACAAAGATTTGTTTTTTTCTTGTATAAGCCCACTTCTGTTGGCTGTGTGCACCCTTTATCTACCTCTTACACTCCCCGTCCTCGTCCAGTCATTAGTCTATTATGTCCTCAGTCTTTTATCTACACACGTCTATTTTTCTTCTTATTCACAACTACTTCTATCTTCTCCTATAATATTTACAATTTTTACACTTTGATCGATCTGCTAACTGTTCTCTTATCTTTTAACTCTTTAGCATTCTGTCCGCACAGTCCTGCCTTCCGACACAACATACCTGCCTGTACAAGCTTAAAGGAGTGTTGGTGAGATAGGCAGCGGTAACCACAGATATGCTTTTATGTATTTAACTCTTTATCTCTTCTTTTATCTTTTTAGCATTCTGTTCGCGCAGACCTGCCCTCCGGCACAATATCCCTGCCTCTACAAGCTTAAAAGAATGTTGGTGAGATAGGCAGCGGTAACCACGGATATGCTTTTATGTACAGTACAGGCCAAAAGTTTGGACACACCTTCTCATTCAATGCGTTTTCTTTATTTTCATGACTATTTACATTGTAGATTCTCACTGAAGGCATCAAAACTATGAATGAACACATGTGGAGTTATGTACTTAACAAAAAAAGGTGAAATAACTGAAAACATGTTTTATATTCTAGTTTCTTCAAAATAGCCACCCTTTGCTCTGATTACTGCTTTGCACACTCTTGGCATTCTCTCCATGAGCTTCAAGAGGTAGTCACCTGAAATGGTTTCCACTTCACAGGTGTGCCTTATCAGGGTTAATTAGTGGAATTTCTTGCTTTATCAATGGGGTTGG